CTATCATACGGGTGGCGCCCCCCTCACAACACACCCACATGATCCCTATCGACTTTGGTAACAAAGTTGGTATTGTTGTTATACATATAAAAAATATCACCAACGTATCATAGTAGAATGCTACTAAGACGCCAATGAACAAAACTGCACGTATCATAGCGCTAATGCACTAAGACATGAAGTTGAGAATGCCTGTTACACTTAAAAGTGCTACCAAACACACTCATCATCCCAATCCGAAAGATAGACGACACATCGCTATGCGCAATGACGTCGCCCACAAACGGTATGGGTGTGCGATGTCCACGGGAAAGCCGTATTGCTACAACAAACCCGCTTACCACCGGCACTAATATGTTAATTGTATACCTCCATCGACCAGAATCACAAGAATGCGTCGAATCAGGCGCAGCACACCCGCAGATCCATCACAAGACGCAATACAGCAAGTAGCAGTAAGCATCAATGCAACTATCATACGGGTGGCGCCCCCCTCACAACACACCCACATGATCCCTATCGACTTTGGTAACAAAGTTGGTATTGTTATTATATAAAAAATATCACCTACGTATCATAGTAGCACGCTACTAAGACGCCAATGAACAAAACTCCACGTATCATAGCGCTAATGCACTAAGACATGAAGTTGAGTATGCCTGTTACACTTAAAAGTGCTACCAAACACACTCATCATCCCAATCCGAAATATAGACGACGCATCGCTATGCGCTACTACGCCGCCCACAAACGGTATGGGTGTGCGATGTCCACGGGAAAGCCGTATTGCTACAACAAACCCGCTTACCACCGGCACTAAGATGATATGTCTAGGACACATCGGTTAGCGAGGCCAAGTTTACCTCGGACCAATTGCTCGTGAAGCAGCACACACGCCACCATAATATTCCTTTTCAAGTCCCTAATAAGGACTAGTCATTTTGCTACAGTACTAGGAGCAGTCAGTCACCCGACCACCCCATACAATGCTTATGCATCAAGGAGACCTCCTATAATATTGCTTTTGTATCATAGACCTTACTTTCATAAGTCATTCTTATATAGGATTCGAACCCACGACCCTACTATTGTAATGCATATTAATCATAGAGACCTTCTATAGTATTGCTTTTGGATCATAGACCTTACTTTCATAAGTCATTAATATATAGGGTTCGAACTCACGACCCTTCTATTGTAATGCAAATTCATCATGGAGACCTTCTTTAGTATTGCTTTTGTATCATTGAGTTTAATATCATAAGTCCCTAATATAGGACTAGTCATTGTGCTACAGTACTTCAGGCAGTCGGGCTCCCGACCACCCCATATATTACACTGCAGGAATGTATCTCCGGCAGCTCCTCTATACAAGACATCTATACATGAACACCTTCAATAACTTAGGAAAATTTTCCTTTATACGTGAACTCCTTCCACAACTTAGGAAATTTCAGGAAAATTTTCTTTTATACATGAACACCTCCCATGACTTAAACAATTTTTAACAAATTTTCTATATTATCTTATAAACGTTATTTAACTTCATTTTATAATATTTTTTGACTTGTATTTCTATTATTTATCTTATTTTAAATATTTTTTTTCAAGTTTTTAAATAAATTTATTTATTACGAAAAACAATAATTTTGCCTTTAATTTACTATGTTATTGGGATAATGTCTGAAATATATTAACTTTATGTTTATTAATTTAACTTAATTGCTTAATACATATCTTTTAAGACTATTTTTGACGGCCCTTTATATTGAATTTAATTATTACTAATAATATTGGGCCGTCACAACATGAAGATCCAGAAAGTATTGAGAACACTGTTCCATTCTCTAGGATGAAGGATATATTCTCTGGCATTTTAGCTCATGCAAAGCCAAAGACTATTTTGAACTGTTTCTGACTAGAGATATTTTAGAGAAAGTATTTGACCAAACCAATTTATATGCTGCTCAATAGTTGCTTACAACGGATGCAACTCCAAGCAGCCGAACCCATGCACGGGTCCCAGTAACGGTGGATGATATGACAAAATTTCTTGCCCTTATTAGTTGGATGGGCCTTGTAAAACTCTCAAGCATAAATGATTATTAGAGAATCCATAGGCTATATGGATTACTGCTAGCAAGATCCGTTATACCGAGAAATAAATTTGAGCTGATTTTGAAATACATCCACTTTTCAGTTTTCATTTTTTAGTTTTTTTTTCAAACATGGTTATATGAGGATTACCAGAGGTTTTACCCTTTTAAAGATGATTATTAGTTGTAAGAAATGTGTTTATAATTTTGATTTTTTTATATATAAAACTAGTGCAAAATATTTTTTTTCTTTCAAATTAAATCTTCAATATCTCAAGAACCATATGTCCTATTCCCAACCCAAAAAAACTAAAAAACTGTCCTAGGCCAGAGGATTTTTTTGTAGTAGAAAATGTATAGAAAGCGTGTTCATTAGGGATACACAAGGCAAAAACCAAAAGGTAGGTTGTGTATCGTGAGTGATACACAATGTTTTGACAGTGTGTATCATTAACAATACACATGGCGCTGAGCGTGTTAATGTGTGCTTGCGCAGTAAAATCATTCCATCATCAAGCATTTTAAATTTAAAAAATAAAAAGGAGAGAATATTTGAGATAATTTTTTAATTAATTTTTCTTCGTCATTTGCCTTTATTACTTATTCTGAACATGTTTCCTGTTACACAAAAATGTTTCCCTTAGAAGTTTAAATAATTGTTCTCGTAATAAAGATAATTAATTCATTTGCAATCTTCCGCTAACTAAATACAATGATGTTTCTTACCTGGATTGAACTCATTTTAAAGAGTTATGTGGTAATTCGTTACAAAAAATAAAGGACTAAATAATTTATTCAGTTTAATAACATTATACTACGTTGTATGCTGTGTGACTGGCGGCTTGAGTGATTCTTTTTGTCGTCACGTCCGCCATCCAGCATGTCTTATTATGTGTAACATTTCAGAAAATTCTACTGTCTGCTATTCACCGTAAAAGGAGATTAAAAAAATTGTACATCAACAAAAAACATTTAGTTTTCAATTAAGTATTGCATAAAGTCCGCTCAAAGACAATCGTTGCGTACCTACCTGCTGCTCGGATAAACGATGTGCGTGTCTGCACTGCATCAGCCGCGTCTGCGACAGTCCAATGCAGCTGTAAAATCAATCAGGCTAACAGTGTTAACACCACAGAAAATAGTAAACGATAGAAATATGTAAGCAGCCAGTTTCGCTTTGGTCGTAACGCTCAAGGTCACGTCTATTACTTATCGACCTTTTGAACGTGCTATGTTATATAGATACCTATAAAGTATTCAAATGGACCCCTAGATAGCGTTGTTGTCGAGATCCAGAAATCACCCACTAATCTAGATCGGATACAACGTCTAGCTAAGGAGACTACTATCGAAAATGCCAGATAGATCTTATGACTTTTAGTAGATGGCGATATAACCATCTGGTTTACATTAGATATAACCAGTTTGGCGACAAGGAACAGCACCGAATGTGCCTGGTGTGTGGTAGAGCGATCGTCTATCTGGCCGCCAAGCGGTTAACATAAATCAAATCCTCCTCTACTCCTGACTATCACTGCGTGAGGCCTTTTACAGTGTAATGATGATCAAGAAGATTTGTTTCTTAAATGTTTGAAATGATAATGTATAAAGATTGCAGATATTTTAATTTCTACTTGAATTATCTACAGCGAAAACATTACCAATTTTTTTAAGTTATATTCAAGAAATATCTAATGAGTGTCAGTTGTCACGGATTGATGGTGATTTGGCACATTTTTCAAAGAAGAATTCCAAAAGAAAAACAAAAACTTTATTCTCCAACTTTAGCGGTCACAAATTACCCTCTTACAATTTACCAAATATTTAAATAGTTATTTACATATATATAGCACTTAAGAAATAATGTCTGAAAGAGAATTTCCGTTTTTTATTATTATTACTTCGATGTAATTGATCGAAGCCTTCCTTTCGTTTTTATTGTCCAGGTTGATGTTGAACTCATAAGATTTATATTCTAAAAAAGGTTACTCTAGTTAATATACCTGATTATTTCTGACATAACATTTTTTATATACATTAGTTTTTACCAAATGGTTTTTAAACAACAAATTAGTAAGCGCGTATAAGTATAAGATAGTAGCCAAAATATATTTACAATATTAAAACAGTAGAGTGATGTATGATACTTAAGAGAAAGTATATCTTTTATTTAACAGAAAATACATACATACAAATAAAAAGTTTTAGATAAACTATTTGTATCGGCATTTTAATCGCAGATACAATTTTGTATCACTAAACCGTATAATTACAATCGTAAACTAATATATAAATAGTATATTATTTCAATTCCAACTCATTTACATCTTTGGTTCACTACCTAGTAAGGGTTGGTGATCACATTGAACACATTTATTTTTATGATCATTGACTGGTGGAATTTTGTTTGATAATTTTAAATTCAATATCCAGAACCTCTACGTTGCCTTAAATGTTTAACAATCAAATTTACACCTATATATGATCCATTTTATTTTTTAGGAATTAATTGCCAAAATCCTGAAGGCCCTGCGCAAGTTTCTAAGTTCGCAATGCGTGAGAAAAAGCACGCGATAAACTTATCACCATCTGCCCCGAAGCGTTGTTCATTAGATTGTATTTATCGGACAACTCCAGCGTACCATCCGGCATATCTGCTTAAATTTTAGTACTTTTTGATTTTTTTTTACGTGCAAACAGACTGTTCGTGGATTGCGCAGACCTTTTTAAAAATATTCGTTGTTTGAAATCGAGGTTAAGCCTTCTCAAATTAATTTGTTTTTCAATCTACGGTTACCTAACTACGGGAAACGTAATATCACTAGCACTTACAATTTGTCTTTTGAGCTGGATAAAGTAAACGTTCACACAATATTAACACTATGTAGCAACTCAGTTTTCAGATCAACGAACTGCGACGCCGTTAATGGTGACTACAGCATTTGGTCCCGACGGCTCCGGCTCGTACGTGGATTCGGTGTCGCTTCGTCGCCCGTACGCAGCATTATCCGCCAGTTGCTCGCTGTATGGCGAGTCATATACATTGTCTGTAACATGATCGTAGATATGACGTCCGTTGGTATCGTGCAGCGTAGCGTAGCTCATAACGGCGGCGTTTTGGTCTTCTTTTCGCTCCGCCCCTTCGATATTCTCCGTGTTCTTTACGGGTGTTGCTTTTCGTCTGTGTAAATAACATGACACGTTTTTTTAAATAAAAGTAAGGATAAACGATCACACGGTCTTCCTAATGGTAAGTGACCGCTGTGGTCCATGGACACGCAATCTTAATTGAATAAATTTTAGTCGTCAGGGATGGCAGATGTATTGTCATCCATGACGACTAAAATGAAATGCCTCATTATAAGTAAAAAACGTAAAAATATGGTATTTTAAATTGTTATAATTAACTCTTTACAATAATAAGAAGCTATCACTGTTACTATTTTAAACGTAATAATAAAACATACTCACAGCCTTAAATAAATAACACCAAGTAATATCAACAAGAACAAAACGATGCCGCAGCCGATGCCCACACTCAGAGGTAATGTTCCACTTTCAGCTGCCTCATTTGTAGTAATCTCACATCTGGGTTCTTCTCCCGACCATTTGCCGTCGTCCATACATTTACGAAGGAACGGGCCCACTCGCTGGAAGAGCGGCAGGCAGTGGTACTCGATAGAGCTACCGAATAGTGTCGAAGAGTTCGATATTATGATTCGACCGTTTTCGATCGTTCCTGGTGATTTGCAGTCGATTGCTGTAAAAAAAACAGTTTTATATAATTTAGACAATTATGTAATCTATTAGCAATTTAAAATAGCAACATATAAATAAATGTGACTATTTCCACTTCTAAAACTTACGAATGCATACAGGCGGTGATCCATTCCATAACCCTCGCGGCATGCAGGTCCTGGTCTGATTACCACGAAGGCTGTAGCCCCTCTCGCAACGATAGTGCGCTTCGCTTCCAATACTAAGCGAAGAGGTAACGACAATAAGGCCAGTGCTGCCCTTGATTTGAATCGAAGGGTCCGTGCATATTATTTCTGTACAAATGAAAAACGAATCAGTGGGGTGTAAAATTGATAGATTTTTGCAATACAAATATTATAATTTCTTAATATTATTAACTAACTGGTTTTTGCCGAAATGCTTCTGTTTTATGAATGTAGAATGATGGACCAATATAATTATATGTATTTTAAAAGTTTAATATAGTATGTGTGTGTGTGTGAAAGTGATTAATAGACAAGTTAGTACCTTTGCATACTGGAGCTTCAGAGCTCCAGGTGCCGTCGTCTTGGCACAATCTTCTAGATACACCGTCTAGTTGCCAATTTTCGTCGCACTCGTATAACGCTGCGGCGCCGTAGTATGTGGCATTTGTTGCCAGAGTTACCTTACCGTTCAGGAAACGTCCAGGATTGCCGCAGTCAACGTCTAGAAATAAAAATGTATAATATGGTAACGCACACTGCACTGATGAAAATAAATTCTTATTCTGTTGGATCATACCAACGGAGTATTTTGTTTAAAACTCACATTGGCATCGCGGTGTAACTCCACTCCATTGGCCGTTATCTTCACAAGTGGACAGGCTTTCTCCGATTACTTTGTATCCTCTCTCACAACGATATTTGACAAGCGCACCGATACGATAAGTGTTGCCAGCGCTGGAGCTAGCCGTCGTCCGAATCAATGTACGTCCATGCATGCGATCGTTGCCGGTCACTGATACAATACTGTTCTCTGCGACTATTGGTTCCGGGCAGCGGATTTCTGCAAATTTATAAAAACACTCATTTTAGCTTTTGTAGTTAATCATCATAGTTTGTTGTTTAAGGAGTTTCTACCTTTTAAGGCATACATATGTACACCATAAAATTTTACCATGTGTTAACCGGGTTATGATTTACGCGATGTCATATCACATAGCTTTTATTAAATAGGCAAATTCGTTAATATTCAATTTATTAATTGTTTGACTCATGAATTATTTCTCAAATACGTAAAAGTCACATCTAATTAGACACTTACTGTAATGTAATGTAGGTTTTGCTAAAGTATCGAAAACTTTATAGCTGTACAAACAAAATAAAAATTATTTATACTTATGAAATCGTACCCTGTCAAAGCATTTCGTACCTTCACATCTAGGTGAAGAATCACTCCACTGGTGGTCCTCAGTGCAGGTTCTTCGTACGGGCCCAACTAACCGATAATTAGTAGTGCAGGAATACTGAATAATGCTTCCCATGTGTGTAGTTCCGTTCAACAGTTCCGCAGTTCCGTACGGTAGTGATGGAAGTTTGCCACAGTCTACGTCTGGATAATAACATTTCATTAAATAAATAAATAAACATATATATATAATATTAATTATATATTTCATTAAATATATAATTAATATCATTTCATTAAATACATTTGTGAATATTGATGTGCGCTTCCTCATCATTACAGCCTATGAAAAGTCTACTGAGAAACACAGGCATCTCCAATACCAGTTTATTGTTAGTATAAAGTCAGCTTCACTATTATAAAGCTATGGCTCATAGGGGAGGTATTTGGTATTTGCCATACATAGTTGCCACGCTTAGCAGGCGGGTTGCTATCGTAGTTTATTACTACTTTGAGTTGTCAGGAAGGTGCTGCCTATATCCTGTTTTATTTCCCTCTATCACCTCTTATGAAAGCCACATGACGATATGATATCGAGTAGTGAAATTTCTTACTTCGCGACTACACGGCGTGACCTTAATATCAAGTGTTTAAAATTACTTAGACATTATACATATACATTATGCACGTTTTAAAATAAGTTTCATCGTCATCCCTGCTGAATGTAGGACCTTTCAAATAATGTAAAACCTATCGCAACACTCGCTAGGCAAGTTAGTGAGCACAGAGCCCTTGCACTTGTAATACTGTTCTTAATCAGCAATCAGGAATAATATATTAAATTTTCGGCTGTGAAGTGTACCCACACTCATTAGAGAGGAAAAATTTGCAGCGTACCTAATTGTATAACTCTGGTAGGAATTTTGGTTGGCTTCGTTTTGAGGTTTCCTTTCGTTATATCAGTACCGATTATTACTAACCAGTTTTTTCTATATATTTATCTTACTTCAGGTACCAAAATGTAAATGAAAAAAAAAAAGAAACCGCAGTTGCGGAGTAATTCCCATCGGCAAACGATTACTACAAGAGTTACACAATCGTACTGCTGTATCTAATTATACAGGCTCTCATAAGGTTTTAAATAAAGAAATTGATAAGTTGATAAACTCAGATAGTTTTCTAGGGGAGTAAAAGCCCAACCTCTTGGTAAGTTATTAAACTTAGATCTTTGTAAGTTGTGTTTATTTGTCTTACATTCGCATTTAGGTGATTCTCCGGACCATTCTCCGTCTGGTTGGCAAAGTAAACTAGTTTCTCCGACCAGTTTATGTCCGTTTTCGCAATGGAAGTCGATAGTCGAGTGTACATTATAGTCGTAAGCCTCCATATAACCACCCGCCGGGACTTCCGGCTCCGCACACGTTATAACTGAAAGCAAAAATATACTTGGAATCCCGCTGGACAAAATGAAGTGAATCTCTTATGGTACTCTTAAGGCGCAAACTGCAATATGGTCACGCTGTTTGTAAATAAACGGCATCACTTACGATCACAGGTGGGAATATCATGTGACCACTTTCCATCGCGGTTACATGTAAGGAACTCTGCTCCAGAGAGCCAATAGTCAGCTTCACAATTAAACTGCGCCACAGAGCCGTAAGTAGTTGTGCCGTTGAGAAGTCTGAATGAGCCCTTGTATACCTGCGCAGGCGTTCCACAGTCCACATACTTGCATGACGGTGGTGTGCCTGCCCATATACCGCCGAGTTTACAGGTAACGCTCTAAAATATAAAACTACACGTTAGGATTCTATCCGATTGCATATTATGACAGATTCTAAGAACCGAGATAAAACATAATCTTTATTATGTTTTGTCTCGATTCTTAGAATCCCTCTATATAGGAATAGGAGTCTCTCTATACGATTAGGCTTGGGATTACTGATTTATTAACTCCCTAAACGTAATTGAAGTAAAACTTCTTTACGCACGATTGACTTGGGGAGTAAGCTGGCGAACGCGTGACGAAATCGTTACGAAGTGTGTGCTTGGGCGGTGCGAACGAGAGTTGAGTGGAGAATATAAGCAAGAGAGAGCAGTGCGCGCGCGTATTTTTTTCCGCTCATAGCCAGTTATTTTTCATAATTTTATTTCATTTTGAACAATTTTATGAATTAAGACATTAAAACGTTCAATACATAAATATTCTACGTTGAAAGTGAATGAAATTGTAAATTCATTTTAAAGTTCATATTTTGTGAATTTTCGAGTGAATAATAACAAATTACAGAAGAAAACCGATATTAAATTTAAATATTTGTAGAAAATTAATATATCAAATTCAAAGTCAAACCTGGAGCCAGGACCCGTCATTTTAAGCTCTCAAAACCTCAATTAGCGAGAAACAGAAACATCTGTAAAAGAGAGTCGTTTTTCCCTCATGGACCTCCGTAAGTGAGACTGCTATTTTTACATATACATCAGCATTTTGATTCTTAATCGAGGATAAATTACTTTTACATAATGTGTTTGTGTGCTTTACTGAGGAATTCAGCACAAATAACTTACCGGTGCGCCAAAAAGTATGAATCCGTTCTGACAAGTATATGTAGCAATGGAGCCAGCTTTATGCCCGCTGACGGCAACGTTCGCTCCGGAAACAGGCGGAGGTTCTGGACACCAGTCGAACAAGCATTTAGGTGCCTGGCCGCTCCAGATACCTTCATCGCTGCATTCTCTAGTCGGTTCTCCGACTAAGGTGTAATTTTCTTTGCAAGAATACACTGCTTTCGCACCGTACGTCGTTCGATCGTCGATTAAATTCAAGTCGCCATCTTGGATCGGTGTAAGACCACCGCAATTGACGTCTAAATACATAATATAAGAAATTTTAATATGAATTAAGATAACTTCAAAATGTGAGATTGGAATTCATATACGATGCCATTTTAAAATTACCTACATTTACAATTTGGAGCTGAATCAGACCAAAAGCCGTCCTCTTTGCATTCTCTTGTCTTAGCTCCAATTAACATGTGACCTTCGGGACACTTGTAGGATATGGTCGCCCCTACTAAGTAACTATCACCCTCGATGGTAGTATTAAGCAGTTTGTCCGGACTTCCACAAGAAGGCGGCACTGAAGGAACAACAGTAAAGTGTATTCATTTTTAGTTTTTTTTTTCATTCTAATTATAATATAATACAATAACAAGAAAAAATTGAATTGCAACGTAGAATTAATGTTTAATCGCAGCTAGAATAATTCGCAAGTGCATTGTACGTTTATCCCATTTGCTCTTTCAAATATGATTTCTTTCTTAAATATTAGCTTAGAGCTTAAACTACAATTTAAAAAAAGGCAAAATACATATCATAAAACATTATTAGGCTCACCAGAATCATAAATTATCTACATCTTTAAAAAATTGAATTAAAAAAGGAGACTAGAGTAAATAGGTGCTTATTGCGCTACAGTGCGATATACCATCTAGGGCTGCAACACATTCTACAAGAAATAAAAAATAGAATAAAATATACATATTTCTTTTTAATACAATTAGAAAGAAATATTTAAAAACCACATTCAGTAAACATGTCATGTACCATTTACACCTTTTTATTATTTAAACTGCTGTATTAAAATAAATAGGAATTTAACTTAACTAGGAAGTCACCTGTTATAATTTTGTCACCAATGTTGATCGCCTTAATAAGTCGCAAATAATTAAAGTCGCCTAGCAATTCGCACACACTCGCGCTAGCTGAATAAAGTATAGATATGTACCTATTAAGGTGACACTCACGGTACTGGCATATCCAGTGCAAGTAATCCAGGTTGCAGCCCACGTCGTTCCACAGCCAAGCCCGCCCGCCGTCCAACACTACGCAGTTTTGTTCTCCGTTGTAATTATTTGGCTGGTCTTTACCCCATGTTGGTTTGGATACTAATTCGCCTATAATTGATTAAAAAGTATTTTTTTGTAAAACTTAAACTTCTTAAATCATCAAATAAAATTTTATAATCTAAACAAAATGTGTAGTATTATTTTATATATATTTTTAGGTGACAGGTTATAATCATTTTGTATTATATATTTGAACCAATAAACGTGGAAAAATCAATAGAAAAGTAAATAATTAGTCTGCCGGACTTTTAATCGATACGTGTATAAAAGGACCGTTTGCATTTAAGTTGCTAATGTTGAATATAAAATCTGATAATAAAACCTACTCAACAAATGCAAACAAATGTACCGGAGAAACAGAATATTTTATTTATTTACGTGTAATATTTTTATATAAAAGCTGATTACACTTTCCTGCCTGGAGCTTGCTGCCTACTATTGGAGAACGTCATTTTAGTTATGTGATGTTAACATAATTTAATTAATGAACTCGTAGAGAAGCAAAAAAAATTATTACCTCAAAACGCATTACTAGTAAATAAGTTTTAGGTAAAAAATTGTAATAGTAAAAGTCAAACATTTACCGTCAACCCATCTCCACGTCCTAGAAGTGAGTCCCGGTTCTTTCTGAGCTCCTATCCATACGAGTTGTGTCTTCAGTTGAGCCTTACGTCGTTCTAGTTCTTGAACTAGATAGCTTAATGTCGCGCCCTGAAACGTATTTGAAATTTAGGATGCTTTTCCGCCATTTCAGGTAGGTGGCATGATCAGCTCCATTCTAGATTATACAGTATTAATATAAAATTTATTAATGACTCGAGCACGTCTAGCGCCCCCATATCGAATCCAGATTTTATTAAAGTGATTCATTGTGGTTCATAAATACAGGATTTGCTAATAACTACATTACAGATTCACCTTTTGGATGCTTGCATAGTTATACAACAACAAACATATTGTGTAAATATGACTTCCAATAAGTCAAGTACCCCGCTTCCAAAGTTGTTTAGAAGTTACGCGATTACTAACAGACGGCAACAATGATTATAATTTATATAAGATTCTAATTTTTATAAAGGTTATTTATGATACAAAATATAAAAAAACAACTAGAAAACGTGTCGTTATATGTTGAAGGAGAAAAGACAAAAATATCCGCCCAGCTGATATCGACGACGACACAATAATACGATGACGTTTTCTCACCTTCCGGCTTCCGTAGTGAGGATTTCCTTTATTTACTATAATCAGTGGTTATGGGCAAGTCCGAATTTCGTTATCGTATTATATGAATAGATATTTATATAAATAAATAAATGACTATTCATACAACTGTAATTTTCAATTTGTTTATGTTGTATTTATGCTATGAATAAATTTTAACTGAAGATTGAAAAATAATAATAATAAATAAGACTTAAATTATATCCATGTCGCAGTACATGAAAGAAAATTACTTAGATAAAGACACAAATGTTCTAATTATTGCTTAATTGCTCCAAGTGCCAAATTTTAAATATCAACAGGGCTTTGTGTTTCTCAGTAACATCTAGATCTATTTAATAAGCTCGTTTGTCGGTCAGACATTTGATTCAACAAAGTCGTGTGTTTGTATTGTGTTGTGTTAAGGTGAAAGTGAGATAACTTACTTGAAAGCCGTGTATTAAGTCTCCTCCGTGCGACTGGCACTGCTTCCGCGCTTCGTCGAAGGAGCTGCCCTTGGCCACGTTAAACTCGTAACAGTTGCGTGAGAAGGCTGCTAGCTCTATGTCAGCCGGCGCGCCCGCAGGTGCACAACGGTCGTTCGAAAATTCTGAATATGAATATGAATTTCTCGTATATTGTATTTGTTTTAATGGTAGATTATAAAATTAATAATACATTATATATACAACCGGCTTAAAGAAAAAAAGTCTACAAGTAAACCTTAAAAAATTTCCAACACACTTCTAAAAGTCAATGTATATAAATATATAAAGTAATATTAAAACAAGTACAATAAATAATATATAATAGATACTAAAGATATTAAAGGCTAAGAAAATAAAATTGTTAAACCCTATGTGAATGACTATAATGTTCAATAATTTATATAAATAATAGCTTGCCAGGCAGACATTGTTCTGCCCTTTTTTGACGTCCCTTTGTCATGTCCTATTAATAATCCTTAAAGTAACAAAAAAAATTATGGGTCACTCATGGGTAAAAAAAACTATCCTATCTCTCAAGTGGGACCAAACTGCACACGGTGTGCAAATTTGATTAAAATCGGTTAAGTAGTCTAGGAGTCCATCGCGGACAAACAACGTGGCACGTAATTTACATATATACTAAGAATTTTCAACACACTTTTATTAGCTTCGCTTGTATATATGACGGAATATGATATTATTTGTAATTTTCACCAACTAGTAGTCGGCCCATCGACTTGAAAATTTGCACTCGTATCAAGGAGCGATAGCAACACAATAATTTAATAACTTTATCCTATTATCCTGATCAGGAACACCAGGATAAAATAAATAATTATCAGGATCAACGCAACTCTTGATTAATTTAAATCTTATTTTATTATTTAAGATAAAGATGATTTTACAAGCCGTGTCAAGTAAAAGGACAGTCTAGTAATCTACTGTAGTTCATACTAATTCATCAATGGATAACAAAATTATTTAAACCTTTTTTATAGAAGAGGGGGCAAACGAGCATACGGCTCACCTGATGGTAAGTGATTACCGCCGCCCATGAAAATCTACAACACCAGGGGAATAGCAGATGCGTTGCCGACCGTTTAAAAAGGAGTAGGCTCTTTTCTTGAAGGTCTCTAAGTCCTATCGGTCCGGAAAAATCTCTGGTGGTAGTCAATTTCAGAAGGAAGTTGTGCGAGGAAGAAAACGTATTTTAAATCGCACTGTGGTAAACCGCCAGTCATCCAGACGGTACGAGTATAGATGGTATCGCGATGCTATGGTGAAATTGTGCGGCTGGAATTAGTTAGAACAATTCCTCAGAGCGCTCCCCGTGGTAGATGCGATAAAACACGCAAAGAGATGCAACATCTCTTCGCAGTGCTATTAAGTCAAGCCGATCATCAAAGCTGTCATAAATTTATACTCATTATATATTTTTAACTAAATTCTTGGCTAAAATAAAATCTTCTTTTACCTATTAACATACATTTATGTAAAAGAAAAAGAAACGTATTGCAATCTTGCAATGCGACAAATGAGAATTTTACAAAGGACGCATTTTACCTTCAGTAGTGAAAACTTCAACCTCACACAGGGACAGTGAGCCTTCTACTCCAACTAGCTGCAGGAACACATGTTGGCCGATCAGTGGACGTGCACATGTAAAGGTCTTTGTTACTCCTTCCTCTGAAAAAAAAAACGTGACAGAAAAATAAGATATTGTTACGAGTTTGAGGTTCGTGACAATAAAAATTGCCGATAAAATTACCTAAATTAACACTTTAATTTACTTTACACAAATTAAAACTTAAAACACTAATAATTAAACACACTAATTCACTTTATTCCGCTCCGAAGCTTCGCTTGTCTCGCCAAATCCAATACTTCCTCGATCGCATCTTGCAGCGCCAAGTAAACACGCGCAAGGTACCGAGAGTTCGAGTTTTAAACTTCAAGAAGTTTAGTTCTTCGGTTCGAGACTAGATGGCGCTAGTGCCGTCGACTTGAGTGCGTAACAATATATATTGTTTATTCAAGTGTGTTTTTGCATTTGCGTTACAGATGAACAGTTCTTGACCGAATCAGGCCTAAGAGTTTTAAAAGCAGATAAATATTCTTAGCAAACTGAATAGATTACGTGTGGCAACCGTACTTTGCAATAAAGTATTGTACGTTATTTCGGGTAATTGTACTTTACACTTTATGAGAGCAATAAAGTACGTGAAAATACTTTATTTTACTTATTTTAGTGATTTTCAAGGTTTTATTTTAATGTTTGCTAAAAGAACGAATTATATACAGGCAAAATATATTTCTATGTAGTAATCGTAGGTAGTAATAATGTTGTGAATTTATATACAAAATTGTATGCCATATCAGCTCATTAATTACCGTCACTTCAACGTTATTTATAGAGTTTATTCTTCACAGAACACTATAATCTTAACTTAGACATATAATGTAAATTTATTGTGTGCACCAACATACACTATAGCCCGTCAAATAAAGAATACTTAACTTTTTTACCAAAGAGAAACCAGCAATGAACTTTTCTATAAGCGAGGTTAGTTCAATCATTTTAGCTTAAAAATTGGCATAATTAATGGAGTACTTTTATCTGTCGGCATATCTACGTTATAGAGCGAAGTTAAATTTTATCCACTCACTATTCCCTCCCCCCTTCCCCCTCCTGTGTTATGGTCCCCTTCCCCCACGCCACAGAAAGTGTACTGAAGCGCGGTATTCTTCAGTTAGTTATTCGGTATTCGTCAGTACGAAATGATTCTTGATGAATTTGCGATCAACCTCTTATAAATATACAAAAGGAGTATCACTTTTAGTTACCGCGTAATCTGCTACGAAATATGAACATTTTTCATCATTTATCGATTTTTTGCTCGAAGTTTAGTTTTCTTAAAAATTTCCTAGATAAGTACTACTTAAAGTAAAGAATAGAATATGTTCTTTAAAAAGAGAATATTTTGAAAATTTTACGTCTTGGACGCGGGAGGCGCTATATAACGTACTCGCACATATAACGTACTCTTACATATGCCGATAGTTAAGAAAATACTGTATTAATTTTGGCAATTCTTCCATTCATTGCTATGTAAAATGCTTGAAATAGGTGTCATGTCATGTCGCGCAGCTCGGGTTTGTGATATACGCGGTTGAAACCGCGGGGCACAACTAGTAAAATATAAAGCTTCAGAAATATCTTCACTATTGAGGTGTTTGCTCCCATATTTAGGATGTAGCAAGTTTGCTGAAAAATGAGCGAAGTATAAGTCTTTAGCGTGGTATTTTCTCGAGGAATCGATATAAATTGTCCCCGAATTGTATGCTTTTTTCGTTTTGAAGTTGGAATTTTATCAAGTGTTAACTTATCAGTCACAAAATCAATAATTAAAAGAAATATTAGAAAAAAAAGCTCTCGTATTTATACACTTCACAAGTTATTTCCCGCCGGTAAAGTCCCGCTGGGAATGTCCCTATGTCGACTGTTGTCGAAAGAAAGTAATTCACTGGATTAGTGGGTGGTTTTTTTGTATAGAGTGGATATTCCCTTAATTGTATTATTGGGGGTTTCCCCTATATATAATGAACATGATGTACGTAAAGCGTTCAGCATTTTAGAGATACGCAGCAAATAATAATTTATATGGATTGATCAATTTTTGTAAACATTTACTAAGCATGAATTGATTAATGATTTCTTACATTACGCGAAAACTACACATTATTTAGGTACTTCAAAGCTAGAGGCAATTAATTCCTTAGCTTCCCTAGATGTGTTATTCGTCCGAAGACCTAACAACACTATAGGTCACACTGTGTTTAGAAAAAAGACCCATATAAATCGATATTTAAATGGTGAATCTCACTATCATCCTTCACAGTTAGCTACAGTGGGAAAATCCCACTGTAGCTAACTGTGAAGGATGAAAATGAAGTTTTGTTATAGAGAGCACAAGGGATCTGTGACAGCCAACACCTGGCCGCCAAACTTCCTCGCTCGGGATCGCATCGTCCCGTGCTTCCGTCACTGTTAAGCCGGCTACAGTCGTGCGTATGCCTGCTGTACTACCATATGTCAGACGTGTCACTGACAAGATTGGCTACATCTTGAAGCGAGATTCAATTGGGAAATTCTACAAGCTGAAGAAGATTAGTCAGTTCTTATCATCCGTGATAGAGTCATGCTACAGTTATATTAGTAGTATAGTTGTAGCACGAATGGGTTGGCTCGACCGGGGAAGGACCACGCTCTCACAGAATACCAGCGTAAAATAGTAGCTTAATGCTGCTGTGTTTCGTATGGTGAGTGTAGAGAATCGGCGACCCTTTTTACTGGAAACGAGGTATTATACATCTTGGTTCTCATGGGTGAAAACGCATCTGCATTTTATTCGTAATCGAGGATAGATGTAGATGTCTATAGATCACAGCGACCACATACCATCAGGTGGACCGTGCGCTCGTTTGTCATCCTATACTATAAAAAAGTGTCATATTCTTGATTGCGAATATACAACATAGCTTGATTGCGAATGTTGTCTCTCATATATAGGGCAAACAAAAAGAGCAATTAGAACCCACGTAAAAGAACATATAACTGACGTGAAGCATCGACGTTCCGGAAAGTCTGCAGTTTGCGATCATAGCCTAGACGGCCCCCACCATTACATTAGATTTAAAAGACCACAAATCCTAGCCAAAATACATCTATTTCTATCAAGGATGATTATTTTTATAGGAGAGGGGCAAACGTTCATACGGCTCACCTGACGGTAAGTGATTACCACCGCCCATGAACAACTGCAACACCAGGGGAATTGCAGATGCGTTGCCGGCCTTTTAAAAAGGAATATACTCTTTTCTTGAAGGTCCCTAAGTCGTCCGAAAAAATCTCTGGTGGTAGTCGATTCCACAAAAAAGTTGAGCGGGGAAGAAAATTTCTTTTAAATCGCACAGTGGTGGACCGCCAGTCATCCAGAAGGTATGGATGGAATTAGTCCGAACAATTCCTAAGAGTACTGCCCGTGATAGATGCGATAAAATACGCAAAGAGATACGACATCTCTTCGCAATGCCAGTGAGTCAAGCCGATCGGAAAGGGATCAGTCGCCCAAGATTCGAACAGCTCTGCGCTGGATGCGATCAAATGGAAGAAACTGATACTGGGGAGCCAACACTGGCTGAGGCAACAAAGAGAGTGCCTTTAAACTGAGGGATACGACGAAGGGGTTCTTTTTAGCAGTAAACACGAAAACTTGTGTCTTCTGGGGATTGAACTGGACTAGATTTAGTCGCCCCAAGTCCTTTGTTGAACAAGGTCTCGACTTCAGACCCAAGTTAAGTCCCGGTACTCGGCGACGTTTTCCAGATAAATATTGTCACGACCGGTGTATAAAGCATCACTAGTGCTGTCGTCTGCATAGCTATGAATGTTACCGATTTGCAACATGTCATTGATATGCAGAAGAAACAGCGTTGGTAATAGCATGCAGCCTTGTTAATGGGCTTGTAATAGGAACATGAACCACCTACTACGACCTTGATGCTCCGATCAGCAAGAAAACTGGTGATCCAATTGCACAATTTCTCGGAAAGCCCTTATGGAGGAAGCTTCGTAAAAAGCGCTTTGTGCCAAACCCGATAGAAGGCCTTCGCTATATCGAAACTAACGTCCAACGCCTCCCCTTGGACTCTACTGCCTCCACCCATTTATGAGTTAGGTAACCCAGAAGAGCACCAGCTGAGCGACCGCGACGGAGACTGTACTGGCGGTCGCTAATCAGCTGGTGATCCTGAAAGTACAGAATAAGCTTGCTGTTAATAATGGATTCCATTATTTTAGAGAACAAGGAGGTGATGGCGATAGGCCTATAGTTGGAAGGATCAGAGCGATTATCTTTTTTAAGAATCGGGTGCACGAAAGCATTCCAAGAATGAATGGAAGACATTCCATGATTTCGGGACTACGCCTAGAGAATAGGAGACCGAGGAGGACCGGAAAAGACTCATTAAAACCGGTGCCAACTCCGCAGCACACGTTGTCAGCACAATAGGAGGGACGCCATCAGGCCCACTTTACTTGTTAACGTCCAGGGAGAGGAGTGCTCTGCGCACCGAGCGTTGGGCAAACAGCACATCCTGCATGGAGCACTCACATCGCGGGATGGTCGGCGGAGTTCCCAATGTCACCAAGAGTCGAGTTGGACGCAAAGAGAGAGCCCAGCAGATCGGCTTTGTCCTTTGCGGTATGGGCCAGTGAGTCGTTCTCTGTGTGCAGAGATGGGTGACATGGCTGACAGATTCTCCCTTGCACAGCATTGGTGAGACTCCAGAATGTACGTATTCCCGAAGGAAGACGAACTAGTTTCTCGCCAATTCTGCCGATGTGCTCTGACTTTGCCTTCACAATGACACTTTTGAAGGACCTGGAGGCAGAATTATACTTCTTTTTTAGAGCGCTGGTATATGCATCCTGAGACGTCGATGCGCGAGCCCAGGCCTGGTAGCACTCTTGCTTATGACGTAATGCAATTTTGCAGGAGCGACCAAACCAAGACTATGTTCTTTCTCTAATAGGTACCACAGATGACGGAATAAAAAGATCCATTCCCTGTAGCACCACATTAGCGACAGAATCAGCAACAACGCTGGGATCATCCGGCGAGAAG